TAGAAACATAATAATAGATTAATTTTAATAATCTATAAGTTTAAAATATAGATGTATTCTAAATAAATATATTTATACAAATTTGCATGCAGTTCCTTAATATTATTTATATATTTAATATACAGTTATAAAATGAAATAATTAGTATACCATATTTCAAGAGAAATACAATTATTTCCAGTTACTAAATTATATATCTATATATATTGATGTAACAAGAAGTTTTAAATATCAAAGAAAATTCCATATATATATATATATATATATATATATACACTCACATACAAAACAATGTGGGTTTATTAAAATAAAAAAGTTATAATAGCCTGGAATGCAACCCGAAACCCATCATATTCAAAGCAACAAAAACATTCCCACTCGACCAACCAGTCACACTGGACCTTTTTGGATCTAGATGTCAGATGAAAGTTATGCCATACATAAATCAGGCTTTATCATACCTTAATCATTTTGGCAATGGTTATGCATATTTTACAAGGTAATTTACTGTCACTCTTAAAACATGACACATTCATGCAAAGCAAAACCTTTCTGATTGATGTGACGTATCAATTAAATCCACTTAATTACTAATTAAAATTTCAAGGGAAGCAAACGATAACATGCTGAATTAAATATAGCAGCATTTAAAATGAAAATTACCTTACTTGTTACTTTATTAAAATGAATTAATAATAATATTTCTCATAATTATCAGTGTTTTTGTGGAAACCATTATTTGATGAATGTAAAGTTATAAATATAAAGACATTCTAAATGTCTTTACTCTTTTACTGTCATTTTTTTGCTCAAATTATAATAAAAAATATTCTTGCTAAATAAAAATATTTATTACTTTAGAAAAAGAAGAAGAAGAAGAGGAAGAAGAATGAATGTACACAAAAATACTTATTTTTATTTAACTAATTAAAATACGTTTCTCGGGATGCCATAACCGGTTGAATTTCCCTGAAATGTAATTCAGTAAATTCCACTTCCATCCATGCTGTACTCGCACTAGACTTATCACTTATCACTGCGGTGTCCGTATTATAAGAAAATATTTCCAGGTATCTGGAATATGTTTAGTCATGGGCTGAGTGATAAGCTCACTTTTGATTTGAAGTTGAGCCACTCATGTGGACCACTAGAGCTGTCCTCAGGGGGTAACATCAAGCCCCTATGAGCAATTGGTATTCAGGCATTGAAACGGCCCAAGGCATTGCCCAAGGCAACAGTATGTCCGAAGAAGACAGCGGCCCCCATCCAGACCCACGCTGACCCAGCAGGGAGCAAGAGGAGTGAGTTTCACACCTGCCCTGTTTAACATGGCGGAGAGGATTCAAGAAGAATGAGTAAAGAAAAAGACACTTAATCAATAGTTCCTACCCTCTGTCTCCTAGTTTTTGGGTGATTCGTATTTATGAAAAAGCAACAAGGGCTCAATATATCTGTTCATGCGAACGGGTTTCCTAAGTGCCGAGAATAAGCAACTTAACAGGTCATCATTGAAATCTCAGGGAGTTGCCAAGGTCAGACCCTATGAATAAGTCTGTCAGTCTGGATTTACAAAAAAACTGTAATGTACATCCAAACTTGAAATACCCTAAGCTGAACTTCTGTTCTTTGTCTATCTTTGACAATGTTGGGAAAAGGTCACGGAAGGAGAAGCCAACTATGGTTTAGATATATAAGCAGTATAACTGACAGAATCCGCCGTTCTGGGTGTTGGAGCGCTCTGTGAAACCGACAGTGCATCAACAACGAGGCCTTCGGTTGAAGAGCATCATCAAATCACATCCACCTCTAATCAATGTGTCATTACTTTCACTTCAAACTCTGAATGGCATTCAGAGGTGAGGTTTTTTAGTTCGCTGTTGTGCCGGCGCCGTGCATAGAGTCCAGGTGAGTTACCGTCTCAACTCTGCCATACTCACTCACCAAACAGTCTTCCTTTTGAAACCTCAAGTGTGAAATACGTCATTTAACAGCATGTTAATGAAGCTAATCTAGTGAAGTCCAATGATCTACGGTAATCGCTTCACTCCCCTATTGGGTGTATTATAAAATGGTCTCATTTTCTTGAATTGCAAACACATAGTCATATTCTCGGCAAGGCTCTGCAGATCTATGGCTCCTTGTTTGTTAACTGAATGAAAGATCTAGTATCATACACTTTAAAAAAAAAGGTTATTTATTGACATTGATGGTTCAATAAAGAACCTTTAACATCCTTGAAACCTTCCTGTTGCCAAAAGGTTCTTAACAGTGGAAAAGGGTTCTTAAGATTATTAAAATATAGGCTACTTCACATGAAACTTTGCAGAAAGGTTCTTTGGGAAACCAACCTTTTCTGTTACTAGCAGTGTCTCTGTGTCCGTAAACAGTATGTGAAATGAGCAGTATGTTCGAATTTGTAGCATTAATTAAACTGTAGACAAAAAGTACCTATTATTTACAGCAAGTGCACATCCAATGGACACTTTACTATCACATGAGGTCATGGGAAATATATTGTGAATACCAGTGAATGACGCAACTGATGCCGTACAATGGGAACATGACGAACGTTGTATGTACAGATTCCATTCATGCTACACACATTCATACAACATAGAACACACTTTTTAACATTGCAAAGTTTGTTCCTCAACAAATGTAGTATACCTACTCAGACAGCATGCAAATTCGGATACAAGTTTGGAATATAGCGCATGAGTTGCATGAATTGCGTTAATTATAGTGCTTTTTGGAGCATTATAGCCTATAATCGCTATGAACTGTTTCTGAATTGCAAAAAGTTTATGGGAAAATTCTACCTCCCTAAGGCTGTTAAACACTTATTTATGCCGTCTCTAAAATGAGAGTCAAATAAAGCCCTCAAAGTTCTGCTTAGGTAGTATATTCCCACTTTATCTCAGATGGGGGGCTTTTGCACTCCGTCAGATGGGAGTTTCTCAATGGATTTTTCATTAAAACATGAGCAAGATTCGAAGAGCTTCATGAGTGCTATGGTGGGAATCTGTTCTAATGATGTTTAGGTGAGAGTCCCAGACCCCAGGAACGTTCCTGGAAAACCTGTTATGATGGAGACAATTAACTTGTATCAACCGATGCCACAGACCATTATAAAACATGAGCATTAGACGATGTGAAGAAGTTTAGTATAACACACACGTTCACTCTCTCTGCTCCTCTCACTCCGTTTTTCTTCCACACACACACGCACACACACATACACAAACTGGTAGCCTAATCCTCCCAATGTGTAAGTTATCACTCTACTGTAAATGTCAGGTTAGACAGCATACACTCATGAATGATGGATATATGGCATGTCCTAGTTTGCCACGGTTTCCTCCCTAGGCAGCATTACAGAACAGCCTATTTCCCGATCCAGGGTTTAGCGTTTGCAGCTTTCACGCATTCCCAAAACTCCCACCTGTGCTTGCATAATAACTACCTAAGCAGCCCATGCAGCTACGCTTGGAGAAAACCAGCAACTGGAGACAAAGTTTCAGTAATACATTTCAGCAGCACCGCCTTACAGCGGGGACAATATCTTGAAGAAAATATTAGAAAATATTACTTTTTTTTTTATGCACCTGTGTAGATATTTTCATTTGAGTCAGCATCGCCCACCCAGCAAATGTATTTTTTTTCCCCATGCACGAGATTCAAGTATATTGGATCTATCCTTTTCCAGGCGGAATGAACGGAAGCAACTGCTCGAGCTTCTGCTGCTCGCCTGCTGTCTGCAAAATTTCGACGAAAACAATTTTCCCCGCTTGAGGCCATCAGCTGAGAAGAGAGGCAAATTACTACAAGTGGCCAGTTAAATCACCTTGCACTCTGCATGCAGAGAAACTCAATGGACTACTTTCTGTCTTTTCAGTGGCACAAATCCACGCCAGACGGGGGGCATGTGCCTTCAAAATTAGGAAAAATCAAACTGTCAATATTGCCATTAAATGTAGTGAACAAAATTGTCCTGTTTTTTGTTAATATAGACTCTATGCTCCTCATTCACTCACATAGTGTATCTTGTGTCTAGATGTATATCAAAAGTTTAGTTGCATGCCTAAATGCACTTTTTTTCAAGTCCTCATTAAAAATAATGAATCATCCCATCATAAAAGCTCACATTTAGAGTCTGTCAGCACTGATAATACACATCTGATGAACACCTTATAAAAACACTTTTCCAAGATTCCACCAGTGAACTAATTTTAACGGAGCTCTCTCATTATGTGCAGTCATAAAACAGGCAAGGAGTTCATTAATTCTGATGGTCAATCTACAGTCTCATTAATTGACTTCAGTTAATTTCGCAGCCATGTCCTGTATAATTACCTGTGGTACGCACCGTGGCACGTGTGGTATGGAATTCAATACACTTCTAAATGTAGGTTATTATTGATTAGTGACTGCAAAGGGATGTACAGGAGTGTGTTCTGGTCCTGGATGACTCCAGTACTGCACATTTTGGAGGTCTTCCTGATTTATATCGTAAGCTCATTACTAAAGGCTCCAAAGACCTGAAATGGGTGTGTCAGATAAGGGAGACACCAAAATGTGCAGTTCTAGCCTAGGGTAGGTACTCCAGGATTGACAAACACTGCTGTACAGTGTCTCCATGAGAAAGAGATAAAAGAGAAGAGAAAGAGAGCGAGCACAGAGCTGGCTGGCACATATCGCACATATAGGGGAAGATGTAGCAAGATGCACGTATTTTGTGAATTAAGAACTAAATAGGCATTTTATTTTACTGTTAAGTGATGCTGTACATGCTTGATTCATCTGTATGTATTATGATGTATCATTAAACTCATGCTGTTCTTGCTCTATGTTCATTTTAAACAGTAATTAAGCCAAATTAAATGACTACAGAACTCAAGGTTAAATGTTACAGTCCCTCAGGCTCACTCTGCGTTTTTAAGGGTCTTTGGAGACAGTTTATTTCCAGCCTTTACACAGCAACTTAAAGAAGCGCTCTTTACCTTGTGCTGACGCCAGATGTAGGAGCACCGACAGCAATATTACAATCCAACAGGGTCTCTTTCTCGCTTCACCCGAATTCCCAAACATTGCCAGAGAGGCAGATGGTGAGACACTGAACGCGTTTGTCCGGCACGCCGGGTACATGTTGCTCTTCCACAGTCCAGCCACAGTTGTGCGCGTAATTTTCTGGAGTGTCTGTGGCGCGTGTCGTGCGAGGACTTGTGCGACTCCAAAGACTAATCCTTTACATTTATATCTCAAACTTGAATATTGTTCAACTCCGTTGTAGGTGTGAGTTTGTGAACAGTATGTTAAAACTTCAGTTCTTAACAGTCTACGACTCCAATGCACAGAAGTCTGAGACTTTTATTCTTTCATCCACTGTCTCTACTCTCATGCATTCACTTAACAAATGTTTGATCAATAAGTATATTCCCAAATGCAGACCGCAAATGCCTCTACTTCGCGAACTGTTGATAACGGTCCCCAGGATATGATTAGACGGGTGATAATTCGCTCATGATCAATGTCGCTGTGTTATTCTCATTTCAGAAAAACAAAAGTTAGCTCTGTTCCTGGCGCGTTGCTATTGCAGTGAAGAACCTCCCGTTCACTGAGTCCGCCCAGATGCAGAATAAGCTTCATTCGGTTAAAGTAACTTTCCAAGTTCCGTTTTAGTGCGACACGGTGCCGTTTGGTCCAATCGAACCATGCTCTGCGTAAAGCTCCGCTGTGTACGAGGATGCGAAACAGTATTCGTGAGAGATCAAACTGTCATCGCTGAATGCCGCCCAGGAACCGGCCCGTTGCGCTGAAGATCTCCAGCATCATGAGCAGCGGATCGGAGAGAGAGGTGCGCGCGGAGGGGGCTGACGCACGGTGCCACCGCGCGGTGAGCTCCAATAAGACACGCAGCGAGACAAACGACGGGCACTCGCTGCTGAATGCACTGGAATGAACGCGTGCGAAAAACAGACCAACAGGTAATCGGGACGGCTAAACGGTCACAACGACCTTTTAATGATGTCTCCCTCACTATATGACACAGCGATTAGTGGCTAAACTATAACGCCTCTCTGTCCAAGCTGCTTCCCTTGTTTGTGCGTGTGTTTGCGGAGCTGAAAAGTAATGGGTATCAATATTTAATTGACTGAATTGAATAGACATGACCTTTGGAAATTCACGAAATACTAATACCGCTCATTAATGAGATATTACGTGTTAAATTGTGTTTTTGTCCACATTTCATGCTGTCTCCGTCTCATTCTGACACTGTGGTTCAGTCAGAATCATAGTCCTTTTTAGAGAACCTAATAATGAGAAAAGGATGAAAATGGCAAATAGCAGCTGAAATATGAAATATCTGTTTACTGAAATATGAAATATCTATCTATCTATCTCTCTATCTCTCTATCTATCTATCTATCTATCTATCTGTCTGTCTGTCTGTCTGTCTGTCTGTCTATCTATCTATCCGCTCTGTATGTCTGTTTGACCATCTGTGAGCTTCTATCTGTCCATCAATCAATCTTTTGTTTCTTTATTTTTCCCAGCACTCTATTCACATCATTCCTTCCATATAAATAATAATTGTGATGATTGTAAATTGACATTTAATCAAATTTTTGTATTGTGGCATTGCTGAAATTGTTGGCTTCTTGTGATTAATTGTTTGTGTTTATATTTTTTCCTAAATTATTTTCCTCCTTTGTGAACAATAGAATCTGCTAAATTAATAATACAGAAATGCTATAATGCAAATGCACTATTATTATTATTAAATTGCATTACAAACGTAAAAGAACCAACCAATCTACATCAAAACAGGATGACGTACAAAATTATTATTCATTATTATAATTAATCCCCCACTGGCAAAGTGAATCTAACATATACGCAAAATACTTTATCAAGTAAATGTACATTTTTGAAAAGATGTTCATGTTTACCTTTTTTAATTATATTTTGTAATGGAAAAGAATTGATCAAAAAAAAATACTGATTAAAAATAATCAGAATACTGATTAAGAATTTTTTTTTTTTTTTTGCAGTGTGGTTCAAGAGAAACGAAGATCTTAATAATATTTCTCAGAGCAGAAAACAAGAGAGAAAACTAGAGAAAGATTAAATAGACTTGTAAAGACTTGTACGAGAATGTAAAGAAGTGATTTGTACATCAGTCAAAGGAATCATTTGGGACACACTGAGATCAGGTCTGAGTCTTGCACTTTTGATCCAGTGAAGAAATACAAAGAGCCCGCATACAGCAAAACACACACCTACACATGCTCCGGGTTAGTATGCATGCACACACACACATGCACAAATGCAAACACATGCATATCTATATGTAGGGATTTGCTGTAGGATGGGTAGATCTTCACTAGAGTGGAGGTCAAATCGCAGAAGCCAACATCAGACTACTTTACAGGTCTGATTACTCCTGCGAAGCCTGTTCACCCACACACACAACACACATACAAACATACTTCAAAGACTATTAATCTTCTCTGGCCTGTGGGAAAAACAACTTCCACATCAAGCAGCGCTCTGACATCATACATGTCAGAGGGCCGAAGCTAATATGTGAATAAACCTGTAAAGCACCTTTACGGCCAGGTAGGAAGACCTGGAAATGGACCAATGGGAAAATCTGGTACTGGATCTGGGTCTTCAGATATAGGTGTCCTTGCTCACTAGTGGTGAATCGGGACTTCTGAAAAAAAGAGGAGCAGGACTATTTGATCTTGACAATCACAGCATGATATGACAACAATGCTTCCCTCCACCACACCAACTGGATCTTTATTTCAATAACAAATTAGGAAAGGAAACACAGAGTCTTATGCTTGAGCCCTTGGTTGTGCACATCATGCCAAACCTGTCTGGATTGATCACTTTCACAGAATACAAGAACACGCTTAAACTATATTATAATGATATACTGTATTTTTAAATAATACTTAAATAATAATAATAATGATGATAACAATAATAATAATTATTATTATTATAGGCATATTATAAAATGCATATTATTATTATTATTATTATTATTATTATTATTATTACTACTACTACTACTACCACTACTAGGCTGCTACTACTACTACTACTACACATTTTATTTAATTTATATGATTAAATATTAATTTTATCAAAAACATTAATATACCGTAAATATAAAGGTATTAACAAAATAATGATTTATTAACAAAAATTAATAAAATTTTCATTATTATTACTAATGTTATATAATATATATTATTTAATAAACATACAAATAAGCTCAATTATTATTACTATTAACATGTTATATTTAATAAATACTATTGGATATTGATTAAAATCTTGATTAAATATAACAACAACAACAATAATAAATGCATTATTATTATTATTACTACTACTACTACTTCTACTACAAATATTCATAGATATAATGTATAAATTTTTTATTAATTGTATCAATAAAATTATTTAATAATATACATGATATATTGGTGTATACAGCCTGCATTCCCAACATCCTACATCCTTACTGAAATGTAAATTCATAAGTGGCCAATATGAAATGCTATTTTTAGGTAGCAGTTCTTATGAGAATTTCAAAAGAAATTCAACTCACAATATCTATTGATTTTAATAAAGTTTGATGTTAGTATGATGCTAACCTTATGACATGATACTCTTATAAGCATACAATTATGTAGCATACACTAACATTGTGCAAAAATAAATAAATACACTGAACAAAATTATAAACGCAACACTTTTGTTTTTGCCCCCATTTTTCATGAGCTGAACTCAAAGATCTAAGACTTTTTCTATGTACACAAAAGGCCTATTTCTCTGAAATATTGTTCACAAATCTGTCTAAATCTGTGTTAGTGAGCACTTCTCCTTTGCCGAGATAATCCATCCACCTCACAGGTGTGGCATATCAAGATGCTGATTAGACAGCATGATTATTGCACACATTTGTTCAGTTAAAGGAGATATATTTTTAAAGTCCTTATCAAACTGTAATTCTCCACCCAGAGTCCTTACCTTTGATATTCAGTCTGAGACACAGCAGGTATGAATGAAGAGAGATGCGTGTTGGGGATTCCTGCACAGCTGCTGGAGTCTTAAAGGGTTTTCAGGTGTGTTGGACTGACGGGTACTAGAGCTCTAAATAATGCAGGTGACAGTGACTGTGAAGGAGATACACAGAAATTGTGGAAGGTAGAGAGAGAGGGGGATTTGGGGAATGTTTGTTTTTTGTTGTTGTTTTTAAGTGAAGCATCGCATTATGATAAAAGTTACATTTACATTTAATCAATCAGCAGATGCTTTCATTAAGGTGACTTGCTAATGAGGAAAAACAGAAACAATTTATCATACATGAGTCAACAATATTACCAGTACTGCAATAATGCACAACAGTAGGGCTCCTGTCCTTCACCAAGTAATATTCTTAATTTGTCGTTTTCCTGGAATGACTGGAACTCAGGAATGCTATGCTGTATTTGACTGTACAGTGAGTCTCTTAAGGATGTGTATTTGTCACAGTGGAGGAGGAAGTGTTCCTCCATCTCAAACTGATCCTGATCTACATTCATTACAGATTCGCTCTACATTAGGTAACCACGTCTTTTTATGTCGTCCTCTTTCTATGGCTAGCTGGTGGTCACTCAGTCTGTACTTAGTCAGTAAATGTCTGTGAGTTATATTCCTGACTGAGACCAGATAGTCAGCCAGACTGTACTCTCTGTTGAGTTTCAGATAACATTGGAGACGACTTTGGTCTTTGGTTTGTTCTTTCCAATGCTGTATGTATGTCTCCTTTTCTTCATTCATTCATAGTTTCTTTGATTCTTCCATGTTTTTCAGGGTTGGTGATATCGACTGCTTTGTTAGTCAGATCTGACACCATTACACAAAGATTACTTTTTTTGAGCATCTTGAGTTTGCTTAAACTTGAGTTTAAGTGGATACAGAACTTTAAAACTCTTTTTGTAATGATTAGATTTAGGGGGAGGTGGCCTAACTCCGCTCTGCAGGCGTTATTTGGCGTTTCTGTGAACATGAAGGATGCTTCTGCAGAACTCTACATGCAGAGCTTCTAAAGGGTGTTTGTGTCAGTTTTTATGGCTGTAGTTACTCGTTGGGCCCCAGATCTCGCTTCCATACAGGGCAATAGGCAGTATGACACTATCGGAAATCTTTGTCCAAATTCTGATGGGGATGTTTATTTTGAATAATTTTGTTCGTATGGCGTGCAGTGCCCTGCAGGCTTTTATAAGTAATGTTTTAATGGTCTCTCTCTCTCTCTCTCTCTCTCTCTCTCTCTCTCTCTGTCACACACACACACACACACACACACACACACACAAAAAAGCAAATATTATATTGTATAATCAATTACTTAATTGGGTATGTTGCAATGTCATTAAATTGTGTCTTTCGTAATGCTACATGGGATGACTTGTTCATTCATTGAAGAATTCTAGTTCATATTTTCTTTTCTGGTCCAAATCAAAGTTTGTATTGTTGTAATTCATTATAGATCGAGTTGGTTTGACTCAAA